ACACCAGTATACGCGATATAAACGCGTCTTCGTCAGTAATGCTCGCAACCAACAGACGTGCAGAAGAAGCGATGGTTCTGCCGGCACTTTCACGTTCGGTGCCGTCACGGCCGAACTCACTGAACGAGCGTCTATCACCAAGCACAGTTTGACACTACATGGGGCAGTTCCTTCTATCAATTGTCTTGCCTCACGGGAGGACACAATGCCATGACGTAGCTCATGTAACACAATAGAATGAAGCAACCCAATGTCAACAGCGTCTGTCGCAGCAAAGAGTTCGGAGCTGAAAGTACTTCGTGTGACATGACGTTGTGCTTTGCTGACGTAATCTATAAGATGGCAGGCTGTAGACTTCTGTTCCCGAGTGATGCCAGTGAGAGAGACTCGGAGACTTACCAGCCCTCTCATTGACAGCCCATCTTCTGCACGAGCCTTGAAGGCCGAATCAGAAACTTGCAGTAGGGTGTCCGGATATTCCATCTGCGGGTACGAGAGCTTTCGTGGATTCTCCTGTGCCCACTTAAGCACAGTGTTCAGCCTTTTGACATGGATAGGTTTTGCAACATGTGCTTCGCGCTGCAGGGCTGCGATGAAGACCGCCAGATCTGGTCTCATAAGTAGGCTGTAAGCAACAGTCATGAGAAGGCTCAAGACATGTCGCCTACTTTGCTCTGGCAGTAGAGCATCAGGCTGAGCAGCAACTGGTGCAGGTAGGATCATAGGCTTACACGCTGCAAGAAACTTGATCTGATCCAAAGACACACTTTTGTCTGTAAACTGCTCATGTCTGACTCCACAGAAAACGAAGGAACCCCATTCTACTTCCATTTTTCCGAAGGTTCGAGAAAGATACTGCACAAATTCGTCAATCTGTGCTCTTTCTCCGGCCATCTTCAAGTCATCGACATGTTTCAAGATAGCCATGACCAGGGTACCTTCTTTGTGTAGAAGCTCCAATTCGGGATCCACTGTTGTGCATTTGAAGCCAAACTGCTCAGTAATACGGCGAAGTTTTAGGGAAAAGCATTTTGGTGCATCTCTGCAGCCTGTGCCCGGCTTGAGGCAATGCAGTACTTCCAGCCTGGGATTGAACGTACGAAACTCTGGTAGCATCTGCAAGCAGGCCAGTCCTTCACCAGTAAGCTCGAAGCTCACATCACGCTCGGATCTTCCTGTTGCCTCTGCAAGCTCGCTGTAGGATACACCTTGAAGAAACGCTTTGGGGACATCGGAGCTTGCCAATGTCCACTTTCGCAAGACACACTCCGAGACCAAGGCTCGTTGGCTGAATCGAGTGGCTGTGGCAGCATAATTGCTTTGATCATCAGAGCCGCTCTCTTTAAAGCCTCTCAAACATAATCGTGCTCGGATCTTTCGCTCACCATGAATCATCTTCCATTTGAACACCCAACGAACATCGATCACGCATGGGCTCTGAGCACGGGCTCTTCGTTCAAAGCAACCAAAGCCTTGCCACAACTTCAGCTCTGCCAAGATCGCCTGAGTTACCTCGGCTGCGTGCTGGACTTGCTCCTCCCGGGTGAGAAGATCATCGGATCTCTCAATCACCGCCTTGCGCGTGTGACTTTCGTAACATCGCCATTCCACATGCTCGTCAGCATTCGGTAGGCGCTCCAAGCCTTCCAGACACTTTGCCATGTCACCGTAGGCTACGTAGGCTTCAACAGCAACATAGGCGCCATGTTCATCAGCATCCAATGCCGGTGACTGCCTTGCAATGTCACACTGAGCTAAAGCTGCACGAAACTCAATCTCTGTGAACAGTGCCAAAGACTCAGGCATGTGAGCGTTTAGCCAAGATGTTTCAGCTGAGGGGGGCTCGTCCAGAGCTGCAGCTACTTTAGCCTGGAGATCAGTGACATTCGTTGGCTCGCATATGCTGTGGCACGGTTCAGTGGTGCATGCGATGTATGCCTGGCTCAGGTACTCCTGCTCGGTGGCTGCGATGTCGTCACCAAACATTCCCTGCAGCTCAGACCACGCTACCGCGCTGGTCAGGCTCTCTTGGCCTCCAGTGGATTCTTCCGGAATTGTGGACAACCGATTGTCTGTTGACTGTTGCTCCACGACTACTTCGGAGTCAGCACTGGTGATTCGCTCTGCTGGTGGAGCTCGGCTCCTTGAAGCCAACCATTTCTCCTTGTCAGGGACCAGCAAGAACTGGATGATGCGAACCTTTTGCCACGCCTGACCTGCCAATGCAACCGCTGACAGCTTGGTATCTTCAGAATGGATGAAGCTAATTTGGCGGCTGCCAGGTTCACTCCACCACAGCACTAGTGAGCCACTGTAACCGTTGCGACCTGTCAGACTGCGGGCTGCATTGGACGGTCGCACGGCTGCAACTGTTGTCAAATGGAAAACAATCTCAGCAGGTACTGACATGCTTGGAGCAGATGTCTTAAATGCGATGTGCTGGAAGATTCCAGCCACTCACCCTCTGCTGTCTTGACCTGTCCGAGCGTCAGGACCGCTCCAGATGGCATGGAGTCAACATACTGCTGCACCGTCTGTTGGGCAAAGTTGGCTTGTGAGCCTATTGGCGCCACAAGGTCTTGTTCACCGAAGAAGGCTGCAAGCTCCTCCGAGCAGTATGCTAGGCTACGGCGAATGTCCTGTATCCTGCACGTCAAGACCTGGTCTGTGCTGGTCCTGATTCCCAGCCTTCCGTGTTCGAGACGCGACAAGTCAACTATTTCCGCAGGTCCTCTCCAACCTGAAGTGTCCTTGTTCACTGGATCTCGCCAGTAATCAACCTTCTCACCAAGACGGTAGTCAAGCTCGCTTACTGCGGCCCGAGAATGGCTATTGAGAGCGCGCTTGATGCGCTCTGCTGCAGATCCCTCAACAATGGCCTGAATGGCTATTTCACGCAATCTATGTACGTGCCTGGACGAGTCGCTTGGCACATCATCTGACATGGTTGTGCTGTCACATGGCAACAGACTGGGAGATCTGCCAAGTACGGCCATATATGGAGAACAACCTCGCACCGATGTGAGAGCATTCAGTGCAAACGTCGCTTCACAGAGGATGCGCACAAATGGGATTCTCAGTCCTTCTTCGGACAGCTGACTACCAATCTTGTGGATAGTATCTCTGAGGACTGCTATCTTCCTGTCCACGATGCGTGCATTCTGACGGGGTGCAGCAGTGCGCTTCACGATTCCACGCAGCTCAAAGTATGCCGTGGACTCTGAGTCATCGAGCCCGGTGTCACCGTCAAAGATGAGCGCACCCATGGGTCCAAAAATGGAAACCCACGCTTGATCAAGGCCATTAAGAAGAGAGGCTGTCTGCTTGTCTGGAACGACACAAGAAGCAGTCCATCTGACACCACGGTCAGTCATCACAAGGACTATATATTGTGGACCATTGTATCGGACAAACATCAAATCACCCTCTACTTCCAAATTAAACCCTGTTATGATGCGATTACTTGGCCGGCTGTCGGGCGATGGTCGCGCCCAGTGTCTGCAAATGCGGCAGGTATCACAGATCTCCGGGATGAGATCAAGGGTGGCCTTTGGAATGCCTGCACTCTTGAGCATTCGTTGCATTCTGCTGGCATGCCAGCAGCGTACATGAAGTTTACGCAATATTCGGCGCTGGCCCGCTGCATCTGTATGACGCAATGCTCTCAGGGAGGACTGGATGTCAAAGGTGGTCCAGTCCGAAGACACTGGCGTTTGAGCTTCAGAGTCTGCCCACGTGCGGCGCTCGCGTGGTGCTCGATCTGGGCCACGACCCTGATGGCCATCAGGAAGTTCTCCTTCGGACGCTCCTGCTGGCACAGCTGCCTCGTCTGATGGTGGTGCATTTGGCGCTGGATCCCGCCAAGAACTTGAACGCTCTGAAGCTACAGGTGCCGGGATCGCGCGCTCTGCGGCACGCTCTTCACTGCGACCGAGGCTTGAGGCTCGCAGGCTCGCAGGCCTGCAGTCGGCTCGTCGGCAGCAGGCACTCTTCCATAAGGACGACGCCGCGCTGATGCTCGCGGCGCTGTAACAGCGTGCCGGCAATTTTCATCGAAAGTATGTTCGGACGATGACCTTGGCCTGTTGTGGCTGCAGCCTGGGCAACTCCAACTGATGGACTTTGTGTCAGGGTGCTTGCACTCTCCACGTTTTCGGCTGTGAAGAGGGTCATTTTTGTTCAGTCGCCAGAGACAGCCCTTGCATCGACGCCAAGGCTCACCCACAGGAACATCACCAGCAGGCTCGCCACCATCAGCGTCCGGGCCACTGGCAACTGATGGAAAGCTCGTGCTTGACATGGGCATCGCGTTGCGCAGAACATCAGACAATGCAGAGGGTGCAGTGCGACACACTCGCTTCACGAGCTGTTGTACACCATAGGCCATGCGGTTGCACATGTCGTACGACCACCTTTCCGCAGGGAGGCCTTCCCCATCAGGCGGACTTACATGCTGATGGTCGCTGGTGCATTGTAGGCCCGAAAATGGGTGAAGCAGCTCTTTAGAATTGGATACAAGCTCAGTCGTCCTCTTGACCAGCTTGCCAATGCGATGCTGCTTTACTTGACATTGATGGAACACAACCCGCGCACACTCAGGCTTTGAGCGTACAGCTGGCCACGGCGGCACACTGAACAGCCGGGATGGAAAAGGCTGCTCAACGAGATAGAAGCAGGCACTCTCGGCTTGCAGGCCAGCAACCTGACCACAGAAGGCAGCAATTGATTCGGAAGATGGCGTCATCACAACAAGCAGCGGTTTGGCATCCATCAGATACTGCATGACCTGTTGTTGTACACCGGGCTGCGCAAGGTTGGTGCCCATATGCAGCTGAAAGTTTTGGCCTGATTGTAACTTGCGCTTCACACAGATGTACGAAGTATCATTGAACCCGCCGTCTAACTCCACTATCTCAACACCCCAACTCTTATAAGACGGTGTTTCAAGGATCGTCTTCATTTCATGGACATCAACAGCAAGGAGCGACGAGGGGTAGGATTCAGGCGGCAAGTTGCACTCTGACCCACTCATTGACCCAAAGTGCGAAGGAGTTCAGCTGTGAAGATGTGATTGCATCGACAAAGTCAGACAAGTCATCATCACTGTTGTCTGATGAGCTAAATGCGAAGTGTGAAGAGGCTGCGGCTCCGGCGCTCATCAGGCTTGCTAGGGACTCACCGCAGTCATCAGCATGCTGCTCCACAACATGCGTCTTCTTTCGTACGTGCACTTCTTTCCCCTGGGCCTTCATGTCTTGGACATGCTGGCGTTGACGAATCTTTTGATCGGTAGGATAGGCGACTTGCGGCGCACAGGGCTCTGCGGCGGTGTGCGGCGAGAGGCCTGTCACGGTGACATCATTAGCAGGCGAATTCACAGGAAGCTCGGCTTTCACCGCGGCAACAGGGTATGCCTGATCACGGCTGCTGGCACTTAAGCTACCATCTGGGCATGCATGAGAACTGCACATCGGGTCGGCTAACTTTACGGACTCTGAGGAGCAAAGTGCTGCACTCAGAGCGGCAACGATCGGCTTCATAGCCGCTTCTTCAGCACGTGATGGGGCTGCAGCGCTACCAGCGGCACCTTTGTTTGCATCGAGGTCGTAATCATGCGCAGTGCCGGGTGCACAAGTGCACTCATGGTTTGCAAAAGGAATTGTGCTGTAAAGCTTCAGTTTTGCAGCGCTGGCTGTGATGTTCGGATTAAGTTTCACACCCCAGTGGCACCAATTGTGGTAACTGATGTGGTACTGGCGAAGCTGAAGCAAATGCTGCACGGACTCATGTTGTGCATACATACGGCGGCCCGAGGATATGAAAGCGGGGACCTCTAGGCGTACAGCCCAGTCAATCAAAGTGGCAAGTCGTGCCATCACACGGGACATTCGATCTTGGTCACCTCGACCTGCAAAGTGTTGCGGGCTTGCCAGATCAATCCACACAGCTTGGTATTGGCGCTGCTTCAATCCTGCAAGGGCATGATCATACCCATCACGAACAAGCTCGAGAGGCCTCAATCGCATAGCCTCCCACTGTTGACTCATAAAGGCTGCTACGGTTGACTGGAACAAGGTGATCAGCAGCACACGCTTGACAAAGCCTACACGTACAGGTGGATGCTTTCCTTTGGACATAGGCTTGGCATCAGCAGCCCTAGGACTTGGCGTTCTTTTGGGCTGAGTTTCAGATGAAAAAGAACTCGAGGGAGTTGTGAAGGAAGTGTCAGCATTGGTAGTGGCACTGGTGGATGTTGTGAAGGAGGTATCGGCATTGGTTGTGGCACTGGCGGATGTTGTAAAGGAAGTGTTGGCATTGGTTGTGGCACTGGCGGATGTTGTGAAGGAAGTGTTGGCAGTGTTGGCACCTGGGAGGTTGAAACCAAGCTCAGCGAGTTGCTGCAACTCATTTGCAGTTGCTTTCAGGTGGCTGCCCGACGTATAAGCAACCAAGATCACTCGATGGCCTCGGCTCCAACTTTGGGTAGCATGCTTGGCCTGAGGACTAAAATGCACAGGGACGCATTCTTGCAGCTTGAGGTTTTGACCCGACAGTGGGCTTGCCATTGCAATCACGAACCTCAACTGATCCTTCAATCCTATCCCCAAGACGTAGCTCTAGCCACAAGCCGCCACCATGAGCCGGAAGATGCAGAGGCAGCACCGTGTTGATGCCTTCATTGAACTTGTCGACGTGCACTGGCGAGACAACATCAGCGCTCAGCATGAGAGTCGTGTACGGTGTGTCGGGAGACAAGCTGTTCATGAGAGCACACAGCACCTTCGCGAGCTGAGGCTGATCTCGCGTTGCGCAGGTGATGCCGTGCTGGCCCCCGTGGACATAAAGGCCGAAGCAGCTGGATGCACCAGGACTGTCAAAGCGCTGAGGCTGCGAAGGAGTGACTACAGATTGCCATCGCTCCGCAATCTTGCATACACACTGCTTAGCACTGTCGACGCTGAAGCTCTGCAGTACTTCGGCACACAGCTGTTCTGAATGTTGAATTTGCTCACGCATCTCTGTCGACATATGATGCTCAGCCAGATCACTGCTAGGCTCACGGCAGTTCTGAGGCACGGCGTTGTCAATGAAGAGGTGGTGCTCACCGGGAGGCGCTCCTGCGGGCACTGGGTCTATGGGCAGAAGCAGATGGCCGCTCTTGGCGGCTTCCAAGCGAAAGGTTTCAGATCCTGGTGGCAGCACCAGCGTGGCTTCACCCTCACCTAGAAAACGCATAAGGCCTTTGTCCAGATCCAGCAGTGCACGGTTTTCCTGCAAGGACTTTAATCCCAACAGTGCAGGACACCCAGAGCCTTGAACAACAGGGCCAGAAAACGAACCAACAGCACGGCTGCCGTCGGCACGAGTCAGCGTCATAGGCATGCGACAGTCATTGCGGCAAGTCTGTGCTCCCTTGCCAACGCCACCGACACTCAGATTGGCTGCACGCGGGATGAGCGCTGGCTCCTGGCCCAACTTGGACGCAGCATCACACAACCACTCTTCACCTAGTTTCCATAGGAACCAGGATCGACTAACAGTCCAACCCGACCATCGGCCAACTTGACGTTGGTGTGATAGGAAGGGGCTGCATGGGATTCCCCGGCATGTGTTGGCACCTCAGGTACGGGCCACCAAGGAAACGACGAAGAGTTAATGTCCGTCTGATGTGTTTCATCCAGGGGAGACATAAACTCATCGGATGACTGCCGCGATTGTGGAACTGGAGTTGACACTGCCGGATCCACCTCAACCTGGTACACTGATGCCTCAGGGGGTTGCGCTTCTCCAGTCGACGACACTGGGTCATCGGAAGCATCTGCAGGTGTTGCATCTCGCGCAGGCGCTGGCACACGCCATGTATGATCAACTGTGGTCAATGTCCTGCAGCTGGGACACTCAAAGGTCACAGCACCTGACGCATCATCAAGCTCGGCATTGTGCTGGCAATGTTCGCCCACGCACAAGGTGTGGAACACATGGCCGCATCGCAAACGGCACACATCTTCGTTTGTTGTAAAATCGCACAAACAGATGGTGCATGCAGTGACATGACCGCGGAAAGGCTGTGCTGGCTGAGCGCCTGCAGTGGGTCGCTGTGTTTCCAGAGTGCTGCTTCTATCATGTCTGCCATGCCTTCGATCTGATCTCTCGGACCTGAGCGCATGGACCCGAGCAAACATGGACACTGACTCTGGCAATGTTGAGCGAGTTGGGAAGTGCACGCTGGCCGCATCAGCTACCGAAGCTGTGGGGTTCACATCCGACGTTCCAACAAGCGATCCGCGGCGAAATGCAGCAGGCAATGGCGGCGGCGCTGGCGTGGTAAAGGCCGTTTCAGCTGGCCACACAGCTGCCTGAGCATGCAACCGGGCAGTTTGCATGTCTGAGAACCAGTCCGGGGCGTTGCGGCCTGCTAGAGGCTGCGCGGTATGAGGCGGTGGCTCACTCGACAAACCAACCAGGCTACCAAAAGTCTGACTAGGCCTTACGTTACCTATACCCGGAATGAACCATTGCTGGGGATTCACAGGCGCATTGGCGGGCACAGCAGGCATGGTGTGCATAGCTTGGTCGATCTGCGTCGGCTGCGCTGCAGGTGCATTGTACCACTGCATCCAAGGATCAGGATTTTCCGTCCAAGGGTCGGGCGATCCAAGATGCACTGATGGCGGTGCGCTTGGTTGATCAACGACTGATGCTTGGGATCTTGCAGCAGGCTGTTGGGCAGATCTCCGGGCCTCTGAAGAGGACGGTCTAGCTTGGGCGGACAACTGTGACCTGGGTGATACCACCTGCTGCCAGGAACCTTCTGAGGACTCAAAGGCTGCAAAATGCAAATTACCGGCTTCGACGGTGAACGATGGTGCTGGGGCACTGGCGCTCGCACGAGCACCGGGCTGCTCGTTGCTCGCAGGGCGAGGCTGATTCGCTCGACGATCACACCTAGCACGCAAATGATACATCGATCCACAAATGCTGCACTTCAAGGGGTCACCGTCTCTGCCCGTTGGATTCAAGCGGCGACCGAAACCTTTGCCCGGAGATTTTCCTCCTTTCCCCTTACCCTTGAAGTAACTTGATTGCTGCAGCAAGTTGTCGATGTTCAAGTAGCTAGTCCGAATGCCCTTGCCCTTGCCCTTGCCTTTGCGCCTCAGGACACGCCTCAAGTGGCGTACTGGCTTGCCAGTGAAGCGGCGCCATCTCCTTTTCGCCTGCTGGTACTGACCAAACAGGTACTCATCCACTTCAGCATTCGACATGCCTTGCAAATCATCTGTTTGTACCGGCTCGTCATTGTCACTTGACGTGTTGCTGTCTGTATCAGAAGCTCCAGCACCCGTCTGGATGCTCGCTGCAAATGCCCAGTCCATTTCACCTCCTGTCGCAGACCAGGGTTCCTGGGACCATGCATCGGCTGTGGCCGATGAACCCGTGTCAGCCTCAGCAACATATGCTTGGCTGAAATGCGCAGATTGAGGCCCTTGCCTCAAACCACTCGCGATATTGTGAGGAAGACGCTCGACAATATGACCTAAACGCCTCAAGTGATGAGTCATCTGATTGAACTCAACATCCGTCGTAGGCAATCGCAGGCCAAAAGGTTGTGTCAGCGTTTGGAATTGCTCTGATGACACTCCGCATGCACGCAACAAGATCAGTGCTGCTGTCTCGACGCTGACAGCTCCACCGCCTTCTGCTCTGGCTCGCTGCCTCGTGATTTCGAAGCGTGATATCAAAGTGTCAACAGTCTCATTCGGTTTTCTCGCAAATGCAAGTAGTTCTTGAGCAGCACGAAGTCTGTTCTCCTCATCAAGGGGCCCAAATCTACTGCTAAGACCATGCAATAAGAAGCTTACCGGATCAAGCTGCACGCCGTTGACTATGCCTCCTGCAAAAACTTCACCTGGTGTCAATGTACGAGCAAGATCACGCGCTGCCCCTCCCAACTGCGAAATGATGGCGGCGCACTGTTGGTGCGCCTCCAAATCTGTAACCATTGTCCAAAGCATAAGGTCCTGCAACCAATTTCGAAAAGGAAGTTGCGACTCCATAGCTGGATCCCATCGTGGTGGCATTCGCACGTTGGCTTGGGCTGCGTTGCCAGGCTGTCCCGGAAACATGTACAATAAAATACTCACGGCTGACACTATAAGCGCTGCGCTGCCGAAAAGCTGTAATCGTCCAAAACCGCGTGGTATCATACCAAAAGCCTTGCTATGTGGCAGAAACTGTTGCGGCTCAAGGACTGCAAAAGCTCCGTTCCGGCTGGGTCTTGCCCCCGAGGAGTCAGGGATGGATGCTTGAGACCTGGTCTCGGTGCTTCCACCACTGACTACCACGAGGAGGCCGAACAAGACGATCATGGCTATCAACGTAGCTGTTCGCTTCATCGCCCCTGGCTCGTAAGCCAGAAGCTCCGCTACCAGCTAGAAAACAAGAATGTGCAATCGGAGGGCAAGCGAACACGATCACAAGCACTTTTAACTCTCGTTCAACACTGAAGTCTGAGCGCTCACGGCTGACATGTTCGGCAGTCTTCGCCATGCAAGATTCC